TGAAACAACAATAGGAAAGTTGGACCAGTGTTCTTACAAACATATAAGCAGAAGCGAATTTGTGATGTCAGGTGAATGACAAGCAGCTCTTTGTTCTTTTAGTTTTTTTACATCATGCATTGGGTAAACTCTGCCCTATTTGCTATCAACCTTTCCACATATCACCATACACATCAGAAATTCCTAGTCGCGAAAGCCAACGAATTGTCTTTCCAATGGAATGTTTAGCACACCCAGGCCATGTGGATTGTCTCTTTTACTACCGCTACGTTAAAAATATTACTGACCTGAAGTGCTTTACATGCAAACGTCTGTTAGAGGATGAAACCGGCTTTATTTATTTCAACAGCATGTATCCGCGTCCAACTTGCTTAGAACCACCAAATCCGCAGTTGCCATTGGCACCTGTTATCCCTCTAGGGCACAACGGCGAGATGCTTCTGAATTACCATTCAATCATTTTTCTAACTTATTTTTCTCTTATTATAGCTCATCATGTTTTCTCTTCTTATTTTGAAATATTGTAACATAATGCAGGTAAGCTGTGTTGTGAACAGGAAGTTATTTTCACAAAGACTTCATCTGGAAATGTATGTTCTTACATTCCAAAAAGTTTTAAAACATAGTGTTGAACTAGTATTACTCTTAAAAATATGAAACCATGATGTTGATATAAAAGAATGACAAATTTGTGCTTCCTATATATATAGGATGGACATCCATGTAGAGCCTACACCAAGGAAGATGAAAGCATGTAGAATTTGCCATGATAGTGATGAAGATTCAAACATGGAGATTCCCCGCTCTTGCCATGGAACCCTCAAGGTTTGTTGTGCTAATTGTTTTACTCATTTGTTATGTATGTCTCATCTGTTACATAGGAGAAACTCTGCTCGCTGTTCTCACAGTAGGGGCATATTCATTTTAGAAGTAGCACATATGGATCACAAATACAACACTCTAAATTTGTGTTAATTTTGAAATTTGTAATTAGGAGTTTTTATAATTGGAATTCTTTTACCTACTAATGCATTAGTTTTCGGTGCATCTCCCGGTAAATTGCGCATTCTACTAGAGATTTGTAAATCTTCAGAGTTAGGATTCCAATCGCTCTTGTTGCTTTTTTTCTTTTATACTCCATATTACCTAGTGTTTTCAAATAAGAACAGAAACTTGTGCTCTCAAGTCTCAATGAAGGGTTTTATGTTGCATAGAGTTTGATTTGACATCAGTCGTGCCAATAATAAGCTTTATGCAACCATTGGACCTTTGCAATGAAGATATGCTAAATCTGTGAGGCAAAAGCTTTTTAGGTATTCTAGTGTAACGAATTTTTCATGACACTGTCCTAAATGTAGCGGGAATAACATCGTGGATTTAATCAGATTAGCCAAAATGTAACTGTTGCTAATTAAGACAAGGTGTGTCTTGGATGCTTGCATGCTCAATCATTTAGTGATATTTTGTTCTTAATGAATTGTTTCTATGCACAGTAGGTGGTGCAATGAGAAGGGGGACACTATGTGTGAAATTTGCCGCCACGTTTGTAGGTCCAATTTTTTTGTCCTGTGTTCATTCTTTAAGACCTAAATGTTGCTATTGAGTAGTTTGATCTTATCCATGCTTCTCTTTAATGCGAGATTACAGAATTTTAAGTTAAATTATATAGCACGAGCTCTTTTGCTTTGGCCTATCACAGTTACAGGCCAGTAGTCCTATTATTCTGCATATAGAACAGTTTCTGATGTTTGGTAATTATGTACTTACTAATCAACCTTGTAAAATTGTGGGCAACGCAGCATTGCTTGAATATCTCTTTGTTTGGCACAAGATGAAGAATGCTCCTATATTTGGCACGAGGTATATGTGTTTATTCTTACTTATCTGTATCTTGCTATTTCATGTCTGCTTGGTTAAATTTTTACATTGTAGTTGTAGAATTCATCTCTATAGGGTTACTAGTATTAAACGAAATATGATGTATTTTTGACTGAATAACTAGATCTTGTTTCATGACTCATGCAAGTGTAAGGAGAATATGCTCTAGTATTGCTAGTGACGGCGGACACTAGTTGCTTTAAAAGTGTTCCCAAATGTGTTCTTCCAAAGCAATAAATGACTTTGAAATAGTCATTAGCTAGTTGGCATAACCTTAGGCGTATATTATTTGGTTTTTCTTGTTTGGTAGGGTGAACTGAAGCCCATGGATGCAGAGCAACAGAGAGAGTATGGTCACAAGATGGTGAATTTCATTGTTGATTATTACAAGAACAATGAGAACTCAATGTTCTTAATCAAGTTCAGGTTTTCATAATAACCTATCAATTTCTTTTTGTATCCTTACCCAAGAATTAGTTATTTCCCATAGAAAGTTTAGCCATTGCATGACAGTGTTATTTTTGGTAAAGTTCGCGGAGACTTAGCTAGAAAAAAGTACTCCATTTTATTTCGAATGAAATTAGTAAAGCTCAATCTTTTGATGAATACATTTTTAATATCTTAGCTGGTTGGTGACCATATCATCTGTCATTGCTCATGATAAAAAATTTATTAGTTCCATGAGGATTTGAATTTATAATGTTTGTCACTATGGTTATTTTTTATGAAATTTGATTTATGTCGTAAGTTATTGATAAAATTATTTCTTTAATCCTACAAATAAAAAAAATTCAAATAGAAAAAGAGTTTTCAACAAAATATTGTGGCTGAAATAAGCTGCCACTATTTTTTTTTTTACACTAATATTATATTGTAGAGGTTATAAACCACCACATAACTTTTTAAAAAAAGAATTTAAATCTTATTTTGGGGGTTTATAAACCCCCCAAAATATCTTATTTGAACCATTATGATCATATTGAGGGGGTTTATAAACCCTTGCAGTATGTTTTTTTTGCACATCGAAATCATATTGCGGGGGTTTTAAACTAGCACTAATTATCTTTCAAAAACCCCCACATAACTTTTTAAGAAAAATATTTAAATCATATTTTGGGGGGTTTTTAAACCCCCACAATATCTTTATTGAACCATTACGATCATATTGAGGGGGTTTATATACCCTCGCAATATTTTTTTTTTGACACACCGGAATCATATTGCGGGGGTTTTAAACTAGCACTAATTATATTTGAGAACCCCCACAAATCAAAAATTTATTTTGTGGCGGTTGTCGTGGAGGTTTTAAAAACCCGTGGCAAAATGCTTGTGGCAAAGGTAACTGTGGCACTTCTAGAAACCGCCACAATTCTTTTTGTGGGGGTCAAAAACTGTCGCAATTTGACCAAAAAACCCCCCACAAAATAAGTGTTTTCTTGTAGACCTCACCCCTACCTTGTGAGGATAGAGAGATTATTTCCAATAGACCCTCGACTCAGGAAAGCGTAGGCACCACATTATACCGGAAAATTATATAAAAATAAACTGGAAAATTCATCATAGATTCAGGAAAAAAAATGCATGTTCAAGCCGAAGTCAGTAGAGTTTCCACGTTTACGGTGCAACATTGTTCATGATGTTTCAAATTAAAGGTTTAGTTGACACAACCAATAGGAAGGTTGAACTAAAAACCCACAAAAAGTTCCCCAACATCAGCATTTCTCCAGCAATGCAACAAATACATCTAAATTGGAGTAATACTCTATTTCTCCACTCATAGATAAACAAAAGTAAATACAAAAAATCTGTTAAGAAACCACAGCAACTTAAGCAGAAAACCAAACCTAAAACTTCCAAAAGAAGTGGTCCAACAGAAAACCAAGAAAAGAAGAGCATAAGTACAAGAATCAAAAGAGATTTTGCTATAGCTAGAAATCACTGAAACTGAAACTTGTACCATCATGTTCCAAAAATGGTACTAATTACAGTTAAAGCTCCTATTGGAGATTTTTGGACAAATACACCAGGTAAACTAAAAATGTGAAGGGTCATGAAGACAGAGAGAGAAAAGGAAGAAATACCAGGATCCAAAGGAATCTAGCTAGAAACCATCAAAATACCAAAGTTTAAAATGACAGCAAATATTTCTACATAAATGCACGAATTAACCTTGAGTTGATACTTGAAACTGTCAAATGGTGCGAGAGTTAGTCGCGTCGACGACCATAGTGGATTCTCAGGAGGATTGATCGTTTCTATTGGCTCAGCGAACGTGCTCCTACCAATTGTCCAAGTGAATTTCTTAACTGGATATCCATACACATATAATCTGATTCCTTAACTTGTGCAACAAACACCAAGTAAGTGCGGAAAGCATGAAACAGATCTTAAAAATGTGTTATTTCAGCATTGAATATAATGCCCTGGAATTGGTTTTCCTGTAATAATATAAGATACAATTAGGATACCCAAATATGTATAAAGTGAATAATTTTTTTCTAAAATCCATGGTTTTCTTGCAGTTTTCTAAGCAAATATATGAGCAAATAGTAGATTAGTTCATTTATTGCTGGCAATTTATGAATTCAACAAAAACTACCTTTTGATCCTGCATAATCATAAGTTGATACCTTTTTTG